TGTCTCCAGTGTTCATTCTCCCAGTGGGTGTTGCCCCACCTGTACTGCTCTGCTCCTCCCTGCCCACAAACAAGCACAATGCTTCTGAGAGGCTGGGCCCACTGCAGTGACATCATTATGCTTGCCAAAAGCCATTTGATGCAGCAGGTAAGAAAGTGGTTAGATAAGTGCATTGGGTTTCTGAGAGGCACAAGTCCAGCTAAGGCAGAAATAGGCTCTAACTTAATAATATGCTCATCACACACAGTAAGAGACACCCTGACTTATTAAAATACACTGAGAGCAGTACAGAGGATGAATAAACTTGATTCACTGCCACTCTGGCACCGGGGGCACAAAGAATAATAAAACCCAAAGAATTGTAGCCGCCTGACTAGTAAATTAAGAGATCTGGGGTCAGCTAGACTCTAGACATCAGTGTTACTATGGCAATAAAGGGCCCTAGCGTTTAGCAGCTATTACAGAGCAGGCATCTAATAGGCTAGTCTATGTCACAGCCAAAGCTCCAGGGTCTAGCAAAGAAGACCAATTAGCATATTCATTCATTAGGGGCCTCTGCACACTTCTCTTAATTCCAATTAGTTGTTTGTTTGAACCAACGTCTTTTGCCTGCATTATATTCATTAGTGCCTTTTAGCCACTGAAAATAGGTTTGAATCTCCAAAAGGACCCCATAATTTCCTAAGCCTTCATTTTTCCCCCTAGGGGCTTGGGTTTATACAGTCACAAATCCTTGGCCCTGAGTCCCTTGAAATGAAAGCATCTCTCACTGTACTACTGCACTCGATATACGGAAAATCTGTTCAGGAATGTGATGGACTAAGGTTTCTTCCTGGAACCCAGTGAAGTAGGGATCTGGGGCCATTATCTGGACCATTCAAATCAAGGAAACTCTTTTGCCTTAGCCAGTGAGCCCGATGACCACACCTGCTGGCTACTACTCAGAGGTTAGCTGTTCAGGAAGGGGAACTTTAGGCACTGTGAACCATACTGACATCATCAAAGTTGGGCAGTAGCTGTTCTAGCTTGAAGGACTGCCCATTAATGTCCAGCCCAAACTCTGCCTATTTCAGGAAGCCTTCCCTGATCTTTGCAGCCCCAAATGAGTTCCCCCTCCCCCATGCACTTCAAAGGTGACATGTTATGCTGGGCAGCGTTCATGGGCAACCTCAGGTCCTAGGCCAGCCTGGAGTTTCCTCACCCATGACTTCAGAGTCCACAAAGTCACAAATTCCTGAAGGTACTGGGGCTCTAGAGAGCAATTAACAAGGGCTGGGTGACTCCAATGGCAAAGAACTCTTAAGCTGCATTGCACATGACCTCCAAGAGACTCCCTGAAGATTTAGCAAATCTCTAGGTAGGGAAAGTACACAACTGCTCTTTGATGGCTCTAGGACAGATTTCCCCCTTCTACCCTCCACAACTGTGGACATAGCCCACAAGAACAGATGCCATAAACTAGTCTATCTCATGGTAGAGGCAAAGATTCTCTAAAGAGTGCTACCATCTCTTTCTTCCTTTGAGAACACAAGGACCTAGTCCATAAGATTGTTTTTGTTCTCCGTCAGCAACCATGTGGTTTTTCCCAGGTAGGCAACCAGGAAAAGGGGCTTATAGAAGCAGATATTAACACTTGTACTCAAGGACTGGACATATAGTTTTAGAGACTTGAATTATTTGCCTTTGAATCTACTGTCACATTCAAAGTCTGTCCTTTATCCCTCCTTTCTTGCCTCTGTCACCACTGCTTCATTTGCAGCCCCATTGGCCACTTCTGGCTCCAGTCTGCTGCACTGTTAAGCGGATTGCTTTTTTCCAAAAATTAGTGGGAATGATTTCTCCTTTAGCTAGGGTTTTTTTTAATGTGGACTCATACAGATTTCTGTCTTTGAGATCCTATGGGACTTTATTATTTTACCCCACCCAACAAATAGCATTCCAGAAGGCAGCTTTGCATATAGTCAAAATTGTAAATACATTAAATATATAGCAAACCCCAAATTATCCAGAATGCTAGGGAATGAGAGATTCTGGGGAATAAAATATTTTGTTACCTGAGGCCACATTACTCCAATTCTCCTTTTGTTCTACCACCCTTGGGTTTTACCTAGCATCATTGTGATTATAATTAACATATAACATTGTGTAAATTTAAGGTGTACAACACCTTAATGTGATATGATACACTTACATACTGCAAAATGATTACCAGCATAGTGTTAGCAAACACCTCCATAATGTCACATAATTACAATTTATACTTTATGATGAGAATGCCTAAAATCTACGTTCTTGACAACTTTTAAGTATATAATACAATATAATTAACTACAATCACCATGCTGTACATAAGATCTCCAAAAATCATTCATTTCACAACTGGAAGTTTGTACCCTTTGACCAACATCTCCCTAGTTCTCTCATGCCCAACCCCTGGTAACCACCATTCTACTCTCTCTTTCTGAGTTTGTTTTTTTAGAATTTTACATATAAGTGAGGTCATACAGTATTTGTCTTTCTCTGTCTGATTTATTTCATCTAGCGTAATGCCCTCAAGATCTATCCATGTTGTCACTAATGGTAAGCTTTTCTTATTTTTCAGGGCTGAATAATATTCATATATATATTCATATATATATGTGGCAAACATTGTTTGGATGACTTCTGTGGTGAGTGTGTAAACTGTTCCAACACCATAGCAGAAGAAGCAGGACGTGTTGCTGTGTGAGGCCTCCTGGATCTTCCCTTGTGCATATCACACACAGTACCATGCATCTCAAATTTATCACAAATGTGTGCAGTTGTTAGGCATGTTGGAGGTTCTGTTGCATACTTATGCCTCCACTGTCATTGTACTTCCATAAGTTTCTCGAATTTCAAATACTGCTTCAAAATGGTTTTGCATTCCTTAAATGATAACCGTGCTTCCACCATTTTGACTGTCCTGCCTGTCGCATGGTGACAGTAGCATTCATTTGATTAACGCCATCTTTTGAGTGAATGTCATACTACACATTGCTACTGTAATTCAATACAATTTTGAAAAGTAATACATAGATAACATCTCTTAAAATGTATACAAGTGGACGTTTTGGTCAATGTTGCTCAAGCAGTAGTTCGCAGTAATGAGAAGTGTCTGGACTCTGATGGTAACCACTTTGAGCACCTCTTGTTATTGAACAAGTCAAATGTGAATTGTATTCATCTTTTGTTATTGGTATATATTGAGTATTACAATTTTAATACAGTTTTTCTTTCTTAAAATGTGTATACATTTTTTTGGCACCGTGTGTGTGTGTGTGTGTGTGTGTGTGTGTGTGCGCGCGCGCACGCATGCGCATGTGCCACATTTTCTTTATCCATTCAACTGTTGACAGACACTTAGGTTGTTTACTTATCTTAGCTATTGTGAATAGTGCTGCCACGCACTCTTTGTTTTTAGAATCTTGCTAACATGACTGTACTCTTTTCTGCCTTAGTAAGACAAGACCAGTTAACCTGGCTTTTGTTTGGTTTTTGAGGCTTCTAAGTCTTCAGGATTCTCATATTTAACATCAGGAATCACAGAAAAGGCTTGAATGGAGAAAGTGTAAAAGGTAGGTAGAGTTCAATGTCTACTGAGATGAGGTTATCCTTTGGAGTATATTTTGCTTTTGTTCAAATGCAAAAAGTAGGATGAGTTTGTTTTTTTTGTCAGCGGTTTCTTTCTCTTCAAATCAGGATATGGAGGTGGGGTAAGGAGAGCGGAGATTCTGCTAAGAAAAAGTCCCAAGTAGTAACAATCTAGTAAACCTTTACCTTTATTTTAAATTAACCACTATTGAAGCTATCTGCAACAGAATAACCGAGACTTGGAGTTATGAATAAATCTATCTATCTAAGCTATGTGCTCATTTTCTTGGTTATGAATATGCCCAGAATCTCGGTATCTGTAATATTTTCAGCCATCTGTGTGTAATGGGGTGGCTGTAGGTGGGGGTGATTTGTGAAGGAAGGATTAAAAACCCTACACAGGTCTTTTAGCCACCCAGGCTCCAGTGGGGTTGTCAAAACAGACCAAAAATACTATACAATGTTCTTGGCTGTTTCTCCTCATTTTTCTTTTGTTGGGTCCTACATTGGCATCAGGAGTTATATATGTCTGGGAAACCGATACTGCAAAGTTCTGGCTTGTTCCCTGACCTGATGCTAAGGGATAAATATAGATCTCAACCACTACAGAAATTTGGCCAGGATTCCAAGGGATGTATGTGTGAGGGGCAGTGACTGATGCAGCTATTCTGACATGTGGGCAAGAAAAAAGATTTCTTTATGTTCAAGACTCTCTTTGGGGTGGGGAGGAGTGAATCAAAAGCCTAGCCTCTAAAAATCAGTACTCATAATCCACATTTTCAGGAATTTCTGGATTAAAACAAATAAATAACATTGTAGGTGGCTTGGTGTGTGTGTGTGTGTGTGGTGGGGAGAGTATGGGAGAAGGGAGAGCAAAGGGATCTTTCCTGACATCTTAGATCCTTTTGCATGAGATCAGCCTTATGAAAAAAGAAAGTTATTCTTGGCCATCTCCCCTCACCTCCAACTCCCACCCACATCCCCCCCACACTGCCACATACACTGCTATCCAACTCTCAATTGAGAAGAACACGACTTAAGATATCCATTGGACCCATATTATCTCAGGTGCTACAGAAAGGCAGGGGGTGAGAAGAGACATGAATTGGGGGAGGGGGTTGTGTCACTCATCTTCATGACCCAGAATATCTTCCCCTCCCTGTAATAATGAGCTTGCTTTTCCATAGGGCTTTCCTTTGATTCAGAGAAGGGGCCAACCAATGAGAGAGGGGCATGTTAGATTATTTTGGGGAAGGACTCATGCTAGGAGGGTTCACTTTTACTAGGTGCCAAGTGGCCCCAGGAACTAGTGTCTCTTGTACCAGAAAAAGCTCCAGAACTCTCACCCACTTGCTTTCCTCTGCTGCGTCTTTGCCCACTGAACAGCCATGAGTAGGCAGCTTCAACCCAGAAGAGCTCTGGCCTTTCCATATAGTTATTGCTACAGACTTGTGAGTCCCAGGGAACAGAACACTTGGCTGCCTTTTTTTAGTGGGGTTGGGTGGGGGTTTTGTAGATCTTGGCTTGTGGCTGGTTCTCCTTGGGATGGGCGGTAATAGTGAAATTTAAGGAAGTCCATAATTTCAAGAGTGAGCAGTGGCTCTCAGCACCTCATTGCACCCTAAATTGCTGGGTTGAAGGAGGAAGCCCCTCTTTTTACAGAACAAAGATAAGGGAATTGTAAGATGCCAGAGAATGAGAAGTCTTCTAAAATTTTTTCTTGGGCGTCTAGAATTTGAACAGACCTTTTGGAGTCTGAAAGTAAAAGTTTCATTCTGATAGCAGGAAATTTAGCCATGAGAGAAGAGAAGGGGAAGAGGAAACTAAAGGCACTGCCTAACCAGCTGTATCAGTCCATTTGGGTGGTATCTTCTCAGGAACCCAGCTGCTCTTTTTCTAAAACAGAAATTCCAAACTATAGCTAAAATCATAGAATCCTAGACAAAAGCTGGGAGTATTCCTAGACATCACGTCTCCAGAATCCCTCATTATGTAAAGGAGGCTGCTGGGGCTCAGAGCACAGAAGTGACTTAATGGAAGAACCAGAGTGAGAATGCTAGTTTTCTCACTTCTAATCTTGTGCTATTTCCATTATATTTGCAGTATGCAACTCCACAACACTCTGACCCCACCACTCATTGCCATTCTGCCTACCACCACACCCTGCCCAATACACAAACACACACACACACACACACACACACACACACACACACACACACACCTCTGATATCACTATTTATCTCCAGGATGCATTATAAATTTCTTTTAACCCAAAGTTTCTTTGCATTTACTTTGCTATAATTCATTAATATATGCCACACACAGTACTTTTTTTGAAGGGAAGTATATTCTGAAATCTCTCCCAAAGAGGATTGTGATCTGAACCCCAGGAGGAAACAAACTTTTACCTGTTTTTCATTGGGAATGGCCACTTATATAACCAGGTAGTTAAATGAAGACTGTCAACATCCGGCAGAGGAAAACATGCATTCTTCTAATCTCATATCCACCTATGGAGGGCTTCCCTTAACTTTCCTGTCGCAATTTGTAGATTCTTTCTTTTGACACCCCCCCAAAGTTTCTTCCAGCTCTTAAAGCAGTCACAATCTGTAGGGCACATATAATTCCCTTACTTGACTTCTGTTATATGTAATGTTGCTAAAGTGTTGTGTATAATTTCAATGATTTGTCAACTGGTTGGGATTTTTAATGCATCAGGGGATCTCACTCTTCATAGGGAGCACGTGATCAAATTTAAAAAGAAATTATTTGATGCAGTGAATAATCCTGTGCTAATTTCTCTTTTAAAATTAACCAACTCTTCAAATGTTTACAGGGCATTATTCAATACAGGACACAAATTTATCCTTTGGGTCATACTGTTTGTTTATATATTTGTTTATATGTTTATATATTGAGAGTCCTCAAAATGAAGCCACCGTTTTCCCCTCAGACTCTTCCCTTTTAGGGCAACGCGATGGGCATACACTCACTACTATATCCCAGCACACTCACACTATTCCAAGTGGGCAGTGCCACTTTGGGAGAAAAACAGACCTTCTCATTACCAAATGATTCCCTACTGGATTCTGTTAAATAGTTAGTTGCACAAAAGTGCCTTCTTTGAACATTGTGAGTTTCTGCCATACCTAGAAACAGGGGAGAGGAAAAAGTATTTGAGGTTCCTGATCTTGAGGCATTGTAAGAGCCATGGGGGAATTAGCTCTGAGAAGGTTAATTATTCCCTGGAGGGTAAACCTTTAATGACAAGCTACCTTTAATGGGATTATCATGAGAATGCATATCTACAAATAAGATCAGGCTGAGGCCAAGTCCAGCCTCCTCCTCTGTGGAACAGAGGTGGAGGGCAGGCATATAGGCAATAAGGAGAGAAAAGGAAGTTGTTTAGAAAATGCAAAGGGAATATGAATTCCTCCATGATGAAACATTACACTTCAAACTCTCAGTTGCACTAGATTCTCTGGGGGCCATGATTACTACCTACTGCCGTCCACATGACTGCTGATGTTAGGGCAAGAAGCTCTGTGAGAGCATTTCCCCAGAGTCAGGCAATTATCATTGACATTTGTTCAGTATCCACTGATTACCTAGCTGGGGCTCCACACTGTGACAGGCCATCAAGGAGTTAGAAAACATGGACCCTGCTCTTTGGGTGCTCAGAATGTAATCTGAGAAGTCAAATGTGTAAATATGCTCACACCCAAATGAAAGAGACTTAAGAACATTTATTAATCCATTCAACATTGAGTGATAGGGTTTATTTTCCTAAGCTTTGCATCATGAGTCCGTGTCAGAGTCAGAAATCTTGATTATAATCATCTTTTGGGAATACAGAATCTAACATATGGTTGTGCTCCACAAATCTACTGAAACACCTCTAGGAATTTGTGCTCAATGTGATAAAGGAGAAACATCATTGTCCAGGGTATCAAGAGACAGGTTCTGGGACTGTCAACTCTATCATGAACTTGCTGTGTGCCTTTGGTTAGACCTTGTCCCCTCTCTGGGCTTCGATGGGAAAGGGAATCTTCAAGATCCCTGTCAGTTCTGATATAGTGTGCGATGTAAAGCTGTACATTTGAACAAATTAGAGAGAAATCCAAGAGTGCTTATAATAAAGAGCTACACAGTGCTAGGCAGACTGAATGCTGATAGTATAGCCTTATCATTCTATATCACTTTTACTGATTCTGAACAATCCAATTTTCTGAGTGCCCTCTCCACTAATGGCATCTTTCAAAGCTGGGTGTCCTCTAAATGGCCTTTGAGAACTCAGGCAGTGAGGGGGCTGTATGGAGCCCCTGGCCTCTATCATTTGACACATTTAACCCCAACAAGTTCACAGGCCCTACCACTCTTCAGATTTGGACAGTAGAGAGAAGGGAAAGTGGCTTCATTTTCTGCTGCTGCAGTTAGCCTTAGCAGACCCACAAAGATCTAAGATCCAACTCTCTAGTCTGTGGCTGGGAGGCATTTGAAATACCATTTGGTGAAGTCTGGTGGTTTTTTTTGTTTGTTTTTGTTTAATTTTCTTAGAACCACTCATAGAAGATTACATTTTCAGACCTCAAGTAATGGCTACAATCAGTCAATCAACAAATATGTGCTGACCACTTACTACATGTCCAGATTTTTGCCTAGGGTATGGGGCTTGGGGGTGGAGGGTCCCAACCCTCAGTGGTGTGTTCAACCAGCTTATGGGAGAAAGAGGTTCCAGATCATGCAACAGTCAGAGAAGCAGCAAACAGTCCCCATCTCATGTTTCTGTTGGGAAGGCAGTCTAAGTTTTGAGGAGGGGCACAGCAGTTGGCTTCTCTGCCTGATGTCTACCCCAGTTTCTAGCCACAACTTGGGATGGTGAAATGGAGCAGCTGAAAGTGTACAGTGTGTTAGGATGAAGTTGGCCTGGACTAAGAGTTTGCCATCACGGACACAAGTGTGTAAATCTACTCCATCCTCCAGCGTTGAGCTCAGATCTGCCCTGACAAACCAAAGTAAAGAGGGAGGCCAAGATCACAGGACAGAGTAGTGACATGAGCAGTCCTAAGGTAAGAGCCCAATGCCTGAAGCTAAGAACAAAACTTGCACCTTTGTGGAAAAGATACTTGGTCATAATAGGTCTTAGAAAGAGTATTTCCTCAAAAAGAATAGAGAAAAAGAAAATCTGCCCCTTGTAACAATGGATATGTTTATGGGAAAGTAGAAAATTGGAAGATCTCCAAATATTGAGTCGTTTTCTATTTATATTTGGCTGGTGGGGTGTGCAATTGGAAATTTTTTTCAAAAAGGGGATTTTTTTGTCACTGTTCCAGGACAATCAGGATGAAGTGAACCAGAACTACTTAGCAGATGAAGAGGAAGAAGCAGAAGAGACTTGGCGGATGGTGGTACCTGATTTGGAGGAAGAGGAGGAAAAACATGAGGAGTAAGAAGTGGAGGAAAAGGAGGGGGAAGAGGTTCAGGGTCAGCCAACAATCAACACTTGGTGGCAGAAACTGAAGATTGTGAATGAATACCTGTGGGATCCAGAGAAAAGGATGTCTCTGGCCTGAATAAGTCAGATTTGGAGTAAGTCCCAGTTGTCCCAATGCCCCAGTTGAGTGTCCTTTCCTTTTAGCTTGGTGTCCAGGACTCCTTTAGCATACATTGGATGGGCTTGTCTGCAAACCTCCCTTAGATATCATGTAAAAGGATCAATGCCTAGGGAAATGCTGGGCTATGGGCAGATCCCATCAGAATAAACTCCACATGGGTCAACAAACTTGATTATATTGTTGAAATTCATTGGGCTCAAAATCATTTGCAATGCAGAGAGACAGCAAAAATGAGTTGGTATAGAACAGAATTTTTTTAAAGTTCCAGACCTGTCACTTTCTATCTATCTATCTTGGGCTCATCATTTACCCTCTCTGAGCCTCTGTTTCCTCTCCTGGCAAAGGAGGGGAACAAATCTCTGCCTCACCTCTCTCACAGGATCAGCTGGAGGCTCCAATAAAGTTGAAAGTACTATGCAGAAAACTATTTCTAGGATATGAGACCCAAGTCCCTGTTAACCTGGCCAAAGGTTTATAAAGCCTCCTCATTTCACCTGGGAAAGTCAGAGAAGGAGAATCATGATACCTGCCTCTGGCCCCAGCTTGTGGGTGCTTTATGCTCCCATGATGTACACAGAGAAATTAGGTTTAAAGGGGTCATTTCTAGTGATTAAGGCTGAGCCCCCATATCACTTGATCAAGAGCAGAATCACATTCCTTAGACTCTTTGCCTCACATACTGCCACCACTTTGACTTCACAACTTCCCCAGCACTTCTCTCCCAGGGTCCTACTCACCTGTTGGACTATTATTAATGCTGAACCTTTTCCTCAGGAGATTTTGCCTGCGGTCAAATTCACACTTGCCACACTCTCTACATAGTCCTGAAAAAAACAGCAGCTGCTAGTTTGGAACTTAGTTAACCCACATGAGAAGAAAAAAATAGAGAATGCCACGGATGAAATAAGAGTTCTCCAGTGTCAAGGGGCTAGGGTTCAGTCAGGGTGAAAGAGCCAACTCTGTTTCCTGGAAACGGTACAGCAGGTGTGGGGCTCTTAACAATACCCACCTCCCTTCCCCCCTCCTCAGGTCTTAGCCCCAACCCTGCCAATCCCTTGAACTCTCAATTGGAACAAATTATCATTCAAGGAACATTCCAACGTTCTGGAAGCTGCAGACAAATCTGGACACTCATTGGGGCTCCAAAGGGTGCACAGCTGTTTCTCCCTTGCCTAAAGAGGACTAGAAAAACAGGCCTTGTAAAATGCAAGTGTGATACTGGGAGAGGGTGCCCTACATCAACCCTTAAACAGCCAGCCATTTGGAACTTCACCAGATGATATGATCGAAATTGCTCACATGGAGAACAATCCACAGACATACATGAGGATGAGGGAGGAATGTTCAAGTGCCCAGAGAAGATATGGCATTGGGGACACTGCACAGTAGGCTATATCCAGGCCTCTGGGTAGTGGGTCTAAGGAGAGCCCAGGAATTATGGCTTCTTCTGTTCCGCTATCCCTGGGCAAAGGGCAAATAGTGAGCCTAATGCCTAGTCCATCAGGCATATGATCTGCTGCCCTCTTGCTTGAGAACTAGGTGCCCACTTTAGCCTGAATAGCAACATGACCAACATATTCACCTGACTGTTATTATTATATTCCAGAACTTTCCTTTGCTAGCTGAACAACCTGTGTCCTTAGGAACTATTATGCAGAAACTGAGGCTTAGAGAGGGTAAGTAATTTGTCTGAAGTTAATAAGTGGCAGCACTGGAAGTCAAACCCAGGTTGGATGAACACTGGAGTCCATTCTCTTGCCAGAACACCACACTGTCTTTATGAACTGTAGCAATAAGCAATGCCCTAATGGGTAGGCCCTCAGGAACTGATAGGGTATTTTGGAAGGAGGAGTGAAAAAACAGGATTATGGGCTTATCCAAAATATCCAGGTCTACTCAAGTTTGGGTGGGGCATTCAGGAGAGTGCCCTGGGAAAGTAGGAGAGGTAAATGGGTTCAGAGGTGTGTACTGTTTGGTTTTGCCTGGGAGTGTGTGGCTGAGTTAGTTAGCTTATCACAGACTCCAGGGCACAAAATCCTGGGTACTGCTGAGGGGACTCATTGTTCGTGCCATTCCCCCATCTATAGTTTCCTGGGTACACATCCTGGGCAAGAAGGAAGAGATCTCTGGGGGCATTTACTTGTATTCTATTGCTTTCCTTTCATCCATGAAACTGAGTCTTCTGGTCCCCTAGCATGTTACCAGCTATTGATCCATTCTCAGGATAGGGATGAGGGTAAAGGAATGGAGGAGGCGGTACAGTGCATATCCCATTAGGACAGCCAGTGGGCAGTCACCATATCATAGGCAAACAGGGCGCTGCTGTTTCTTCTCCAGGGACTCCAGCTCAATCAGTGTGTTTACGTTCCAGTTCTGCTTTAGCTTATCCTATAAAACACGAAGGTTCCACTTCTCGTTGGATTACTAAAGATTGTTTTCTCCCTTTGTCTACTCATTTTTTAATTAATTTTATTTGGTTCATGGTTCAAAAATTTAAAGTTAATATTTGGATTCGGTTTGAGGTACAGAAAAGTTAGGTGGTTTGTTTCGGTTTCTGGTTCATGATTCATTGTCAATCTGTAGTTCCAACATCACGTCACTTGTAAGTACAGCCAGATATTATCGGTTGTCAGAGTCCCAGAGGACTTGGAAAGAGCTTCTCAGCAACAATCTCACCCTCATTCACCTCACTCTGTGCTGTCTAATCCTGGGGCAAACCTAATCCTAATACAGCCCACAGAGGAGGAATTCACACAGCTATGCATCTGGTCTTATAACAATAATAATATTAGTAATAACAATGATGAAGACTGCCATTTATAGAGCACTTGGTATCTGCCAGGTTCTGTGCTATGCTATTTGTATGTATTATTCAAGTAGTATTATTGTCCTCATTTTAGCGACGAGGAAATTGAGGTCCAGATTGGTAAATAGCATGTCGAATATTAAAAAGCTGGGAAGTGGTTTGATCAGGATAGGATGCAAGGAAAGACTGAACTTCAGATACAGTAGTCCCTCCTTATCCATGGGAAATACGTTCCAAGACCCCCAGTGGATGCCTGAACTATGTTTTTTTCCTATACATACATACTTATGATTAAAGTTGAATTCACAAATTAAGCACAGTAAGAGATTAAAACCAATAACTAATAATAAAATATAACAATTATAACAATACACTGTGATAAAAGTTGTGTGAATGTGGCATTCAGTAAAAAATAGGGTTACTTGAACACAAGCACTGTGATAACCATGACAGTCAATCTGGTAACTAAGCCAGCTACTAAGTGACTAATGAGTGGGTAGCATATATAGTGTGGATGCTCTGGGCAATGGGATGATTCATGTCCTAGGCAGGACAGAGTGGAACAGCATCAGGTTTCATCATGTTACTCAGAAGGATGCACAATTTAAACCTTAGGAATTGTTTATTTTGGGAATTCTCCACTTAATATTTTTGGACTGTGGTTGACTGCAGGTAACCGAAACTACAGAAAGCAAAACCATGAATAAGAGGGGATTACTGTATTGTTACAGATATGGAGAAGAATACGAGGTGATAAACTTATTCCCATTTTACCTGCGAGGAATCTGGGGTGCAGCGAGGTTCTGTAACTTGCCCAAGTTTACAGGTAGAGCTCACAGGTAGCAAGTGTCAATAATTAAGTAGTTTCCAGCTCCTCCCTTCCCTGTCCTATGTTAGTGTTATTTTTGAAAAGCAGAGCCACTTAAACTTTTGCTAACAATGAATAAGATTTGAATTAAGTGGGGTGAAACCTCACTTTGCCTTGATTAGAGGTAAGTCCAATTGAAAATTAATCAAAAGTTTGAATTATAGACTATGTGAAGAGAAATACTGTTTCATCACTTGCAAATACATATCATCCCTGGAACCAAGTTGCTAGGACTCTTTGGGGCACCTGCTTTAATGAATAGCAAAGAATGATTTATACTTAGGACTTCAAATATTGCCCAGAGGACTCTCAAAAAATTTGCCCTCTGGAGTACTTTAAACTCCACTCCCCTGTAATCTTGTTCATGGTCATCATTTGCTCAGTAAGCCCTTCCATGAGAGGTAGCTGTAAAGGTAAACTGCAATCAGACCTCCAACACAATTCTCACCAATTCCAAATTGGTGAAATCTGAATGTGCAAGAATATACTGAATCTGGAGAATTTTTTAAAAAGCCATCTTATGTGTTTTGGTTGATTCTGGTTCATGAGTTCAAGTGAGGAGGCAGAGCTTGTTGGCAAGCACTGACCACTCTCATTTCTGTTCTGCAGGTCTGACCTTAGTCATTTACATCTTTTTCTTTGCCTCCCTGGCTGCTGTGATCACCCTCTGCATGTACACACTATTTCTGACCATCTGTCCTTACATGCCGACCTTCACTGAGAGGGTGAAGCCTCCTGGTGAGTGCCTAAATGCCCTGTGTTGTCAGAAGTGGCTAGACAGAAATTTGCTTACACAGCATGTTCAGCTTCAATTAACTTTGGTTCTTTCAGTAGTGACTTAGGGATTCAATTATTAAGAGTAAAAGTAAAATGGAGGGCTGGCCGAGTGGCTCAGTTGGTTAAGAGCTCGCTCAAGAGTTTGAGCTCTGAGCAACAGTGGTTCGATGCCTGGCCCAAGCTGAGCAGCCGCTGAGCTGCCAACAGGTGGCAGGATGGCTCAGCTTAAAAAAAAAGTAAAATGGTACTTGGCTAATTATGGTCCTTTTCATTTTGATTGCTTGGGGGAAAATGGTTTCATGGGAATCAATACCAAAAAATTATCCCAAGAATGGGTTAATATATCCAAGACCTGTTTCCATTGCCAGGAGTTATGATCAGACCCTTCACCCATAGCCTTAACTTCAACTTCAAGGTTTCGGAACCTGACACTTGGCAACATCATGTGATTAGCCTAAATGGCTTTCTGCAGGGTAAGTTCCTCTGAATGGTGCAAATCTCTTTGGAAAGGTGATGAGTGGGGATTCAAAATTCACCTGGCCCAGAAATCCCACTCGTACTAACCACAGCCCATCCTAGTCTTTCCTTACCTTGCATCCTCCTCAACACCTGTAAATACAAAAAAAACTGCTCTGATTTATGGTTGTATATTGCTTTATAAGCCAACACTCCAGCAATATGATAAGTCCATTGAGGCAGAGAATTTGTCTTCTCTTCTTGAACACCGTACAGCACCTGGTTATGTACTTGGCACATCCAGATGACTCGATAATGATTAATTATAAAAAATAATAATCCTGGGGGGAGGTAGTAGTGAGAAAAGAAGAGTGTTCTCCAGAACTGGAAGATCCCTGTCTCCTATACTTTCTCAAGGTAAAATAATTCATTTCTTGGAGATCAGGCATCTTGAAGTGAGACAGCAAGGGTCTTAATTTAACAACATTCCAGAAGGTAGTTAGAGGGAGTTTAAAGTACCCAGAAGTGGCAGACACTCCAACATTGTGATCGGAAGTGTTTTCAAGATGCCTATCTCTATAGCATCATCATATACATTTTCAGGAACAAATGAATGGCTTTTTGAGAAGTCCTTCCACAGGGCGAAATCTGAGGTAGCAGCTTGGTTAGGGTTAAACACAGATAGCTGTATTTATCCAGCTATCAAAGAGGAACTCCTGTGGGTTAACATTACTGACATATTATTTGTGGAAAAAAGCCAGTTAGACGAATTTGGTTGGCCTGGCCTAGCTGAAATGGGGGGTGGGTTGGGAGTGGCCAGTAGAACATGCACTGAATTAAGAGGAAAACAATCTTTTATATGACAGGAGGTGTTATTTAAATGCATAAATTTTGTCATTTAACTTTAACCCTGTATAGCAGAGTCTATCATCCCCATTTTATAAATGGGAATACTGAGGCTCTGAAAGAGGAAGTAATGTAATCAAAGTCTCCCAGCAGCAGAACCAGTATTTAAGCCCATGTCCATGTTCCTCACACCCTCACCATTCAAAGCATGATCCAGGGACCAGCTGCATCACCATCTCCTGGGTGTTTGTTAGAAAGGTGTTGTAGAATCTCAGGCCCCAGCCCAGACTTGTTGAATCAGGATCATTTTAACAATATCCGCAGGTGACTTGTATGACCTTTAAAGCTTGAGAAGGGCTTCTTTTCGTAATCCTTTGCATCTGCCATATGACCAGGAGTTAGAAACTCAGCTTTGTATCAGTAATGCTTGGTGTTATTTTGGGGAAATCTAAGCTTCATATTCCTCACCTGCTAAATGAGGGGGAGGGGCATTCTTTATAAGTCCATGTAGTTCCATTTTTGGCCTCCAAATGTCTTGGACATCATAGCCAGTACAGTATCTTCTTTATTTTCAAAATGCTTGTGAGCTATTGCAAATGTACTGCTGGAATCTGATGAGGAAATTCCTCTGAAGCTAGTAGATGGAGAAATACCAATTCTGATCTGATGACAGAGGTGGGGAACATTAGGAAAAGCATTGCATTTTCATTCATAAGCGTAGGTAATATGCCCTGTTTAAAAGGAACATACCTCTGAAATAGACATCCCAGAGTATCAAATTCATTTCCATAAGGACTGGGATTTTGCAATAAGGGTCATGCCCATGACACATTATTTTAAATGGCACGACCTCAAGAGAAACAATGAGCACATGATTAGAATCTATTTAGAAAGTTATTACTTTAACATAGTTATAACTTTGTCTGAGGAATAATAAAGGTTTAGCCATAACTGAAATAGATTTAAAATTCCCAGTTGCATCCTAATAATATCAAACCCAGGTCACAACCATGTTTAGATGAGGATCCAACAATACATTTGGACTTTTGCCCCTGGTGGATCACAGATACACAATCTCCTCTGAAAACCTGAGCTACTTCAAACATGAATACATGGGGGCTGGATCTAACAGGACTACCTGACTCCATCATTTAGAACCAAATTAGAAAATGCAGTAACTTCCAAAGCCTAGATATATGACATCTAGTAGCCCAAAGAGTCAACTCACAGATACCCCTTTCAGCTCTTTCCCTGGATATGTGTACCTTGGACACATGTCATATTCCATCCAATGTAAAAAAACACTTAGAACTCTGAGTTCTTCATGTTTTAGTAGACAAGATCTCACCCCTTAACCCTGTTGGTGGAGATTCTATGGTTGTCATTGGTTTCTGTCTTTCAATCTAAGGTTCTATTTTGCAGTACATACTAACTTCCTTCTATAAAGAATGAGGAGCTGGTTTATTTCCTTTTCTTCCTCCTCCCCCTCCTTCCCTGCCTCCTCCTCCTCCTCCCCTTTTTCTTCTTCCTCCCCCTTCCTCCTGTCCCACAAAACACACTTTTCATTCTCTTGCATCAGGTGCCTGTCATTGATCTCATAGGTAGATGTTTCCAAGGCTGAACTTAAAGAGATTTAACCCAGGATCTTTGCCTCCTTATAAGTGCCATGCCTCAACCTGATCCAGCCCCTCTTCCAAAATCTGCCTACCACATGCCTATTCCTCTCCCAGAAGTAGAAGAGACAACCCTCTACATTTACAATATACCGTATCTGAAAAGAAATACTGGAAAGTAGAAATTATAAAGGAATTAACATATGACCTAGAGATGGATATTCAAAAGTTCCAAGGGAGGGCCGGAAGAGTGGCACGATGGTTAAGAACTGGCGTGGGACGCCAGAGAGCCCCGGTTCAGATCCCACATATGAGGGCCAGTGACACTGCCCTCCACAGCTAAGATGCTGAACAACAGCTCAACCTGGAGCTGGGTTGCCATGAGTCGCCAGTGACGGCATAGGCTGCAGCCCCTGTGGCAGTGGGTTGCCATGGGCTACCATGTGTAGCCAGCAGCCGCAGTGAGCGGCCGTCCAGAAGCCGGCGACTGATCTGCCTCACCCAAGAAGAGCGCAATGATGGTGCCAACTTGGGCCGGTGAAGCAACGTCCTCCACAACTAGACAGAAGAACAAAATGACAGCAAATTGTCTGTTCCCCTTCCCTCAATTCCCCAGCACTGTTCCCATCCTCCCAATTCCCCAATAAAAATCTTTAAAAAAAAAGGAAATATTAGGAGTCTTTATACATTCTATGCTAATCAATACTGGTCAAATACATGCCCACTTGTTAAAATCAAGCAGGATGAGGTAATTACAAGAGTAAAGGAGAAATTAGTTTATACGAAGAATGATTATACTATATTGACAGAAGCCATCACATGACCCTAGCGAGTGATTTGCTAGTAGTGATGCACAATTATCCTTTATTAGCCCCAGATCTCTGCTATTTAGGCAGAATGGGCAATCCCCTACCTAACATGATATGATGAGGGCAGACTTGTTTATTTAATCATTTTCAGTATTGGGCTCCTTTTCCTTATCCTCCAGACTCCACTTGCTGTACTTAAGCACTACAGAGAATGTGGTCAGAGATATGAGTTTAGATAAGCAAACTGTGCACCTGGTCTAACTTTCAAAAGAACTGATCCCACAGTGAGAAAGTTGTGGAATGGGGTTTATTAAACATGTTCCAAATTACACTGCCTCAGCTCCAAAGTCCAACACTGGGTGCCAGACCCAGTATGATTCTTTGGAGAGGGGCTGGCATGGTAGGCCCTCTTGTCAGAGCAGCACCAGATACTGCAAGTGCTTTGGAGTCCTCTGTCTGAGTCCCCTAGGTGCCAGCACAGAGCCATACTGAGCACCTTTGGCCTACTTGGTCCAGGCCTTCCATTAGGTATTTTTTGAACTGAAAAGCCAAGGCATAGTCTCTCCCAGAAATGCTCCTTTGGGCATAGGTCTGGGCTGAGCTATGCCACATTCTGCTTTCGTGATCTCCCTTTGGACAATTGGTTGTGGGTCACACAGTGATTTCACCTGAAGCACAGACCCCTTTAGCTCAGGCTCCAACCGAGTGACCCAGCATCCCACATATACCTGCTTTTACTTACAGAGAGGTGATGAAAACAACATCCGATCTATCAATTACCACCCAGAGTCGGCTTCTTTTGACCTCCACTAGTACCCTTACTACGGCAAACTGACTCACGTAAGCCTGTATCCCCTTCAGTCTTTGCTATCAGAAAGGGCTCAGAGGCAAAGGAAGGGCTGCTGGGATCTATGTGAATTAGGGAGCAGCAGGCAGTAACAGAGGGGTGGGAGCCCACTCTATCAATTCCTATCACAACCACTCTTTTCCATATCTGAAGGAATCTGGGATATAGTCTGGTCTAACTCCTTCAGTTTATAGATGGAGAAATTAGGATTCAAAGAGAAGTGACTTGTCCAATGTCACATAGCTAATTGGTGGCAGAGCCAGAGGCAGACAAAATCACTGCCTTTACACTCAGTTATGTCCAAATAATCCCACTTCCCTTTTCCTCCCATTTGAGGCCTTGAGGCAGTGAAGGCTTCATCTCTAACACAAAGACTTGACAGATACTAGTTCTGGTTTGATTCATGGTCTGATATCCAGAAAATCATATCATACTGAGTTAGAATTGGTTTTCCCCAGAGGACAATTAGACATCTGACAGTGACTTCTGAGAGAAATGTATAATTTCCCCCACTGTCCCAAGGCAGAGAGAGCATGTCATTTGCTTTAGCCATTTGTGACTTGGTATCATGGGATATACTCACTTCCCTTTTGGAGCTTATCCCATCCTGCACTGAATATCTGAGAATTTCCATCCTATTACCCGCCCACACAGCTGCCCCTCCTCACACTTAGAATTCATTATTCTTTCACCTACAGGTTAACTACACCATACCCACTGGTGGTAATGCACTTTGCAGATGTGGTGAAGAACAAAGCCATGCCTGTGCAGTGCCAACTGAAGGGCAAAGGCATCACAAATGATGTCATCAATGATCATTTTGTGGGTAGGGTTATCTTTACTTTGAACATAGAAACCTAAGAACTTCAGGGAGCCACACCCACCAGTTATGTTTCTGTTTGATTTCGTGTTACCCCTGATAGCACCTGAATTCTTTTTCTTCAATCAGGACACAGCCAGATGGATACCTGAAATCATCTTTCCTTGCCTTTGACATGTGTATAAAATGACACTGTGGAAGTTATTTGATTTTTTAAAGGTGGTCTCTCCTGATGACAAATAGATTATATGAATTTCTATTCCCCCAACTTAAAACTAAAACCCATTCTTGCTGCTAGATGTCTCACTGCAGTATAAAAACAATATCTGATAAAATTCACAATATCCATGAAGAAGAATTTCTATGATGATTATCAATTCATCATGTTTTCTAAAGCTTTGTTGTTTTTAGAGGTGACATTCCTACCAACCAGGCTGATAACTAGCACCCCCCCACACCTTTTTTTCCCATCTGCTTGGCAAAGTCCTTCCATGGGAATCACCAATCAGACCAACCCGGAACCTAGGGCCACCACCTAGGGCCACCATACCTTGGGAACTCTATATCCAGGGATGCTTGAAAAACTGGCTGACTTGCATGGGCAACTAAATACTGACTCAAAGACTAGGTTATATTTAACTGAGACAGAAAGCAGTGCTAACTGGGCATTGTTCTGGATAGAGTTGAAGACTTTCCCTATGATTTTTTGGGGGAGGTGGGACCCACTGCAGTTGGGAAGAACACCTACCATGTGGATGTGATGGGTATTTGATTCCTTTCTCCAGGGTCTAATCACCCCAAAAGCAAGCATTCCACAAACAGGATTGTCTCAGCTTCAGGAAAAGGAGAGTACAAGGAAGAAGATCTCCATCAGCTATGTTTTCTTGGGTTATTTGTTTGATAGTAGTGTGATGTTCTTTGAGACCATGAGGGATGGGTGTGTTGACACCCCAGCTACAGCTCTAGGGATTGAAATCAGAATCTGCCAACTGATATATGGTAAAACAGATAGTTCCTCCTAGGCCACCCTAAATCCAAGGCCCATTAGCCAGTGTTTCATTTACTTAAAAAATGATATGAGGCAGATGTTTACCCAGGTTTTGGATCAGCCCAGCTGCTTTGTCTTATCTTTGGCCATATGACCATACTACTGCTTGACACTTCTACTATGAGGAGGGCTGGGACAAGGAGAAAAAGTGAGCATTAGAGAATAGCAGTAGTGTCTCCGGGTATGAAGCAAGTTTAATGCCGCCTAGAAGCATACAGAGTCTGAATCTCCTCTGTAACATTTACCTTCTTCTCAAGCAGGGAACTGGCAGTCTGGTAGTAAAGACAAACAAGTGAAGAAGTAACTACAATATAATGTGACAAGAGTTATAAAATTAATATGCGGAAATGTTGTGGGGACATGAGGAAAATTAACTTGAGCTGAGATAGTAGCAGAGGAAATCTCACATGCAAAGTCACAATCATGAAAGACCATGGTTTGTTTGGTTAACTGTGAGCAGTTCATGTAATTGGAGTGCAAAGAGCTCAGGGAAATGGCAGGGAGTGGTAGGAGATTGGGCTAGAGGTGTATGCAGGTACCAAAAGAGGACTTTGAGCTTTATCCAGTAGGTGAAAAAAAGTCATTAAAGCATTCTAAGCAGGGGAGCTCTATGATCATGTTTGTATTTTAGAAAGAGCATTTTGGCAGCCACAATGTGAAGGATGGATTGGAGAGGGGCAAGACTGGGGAAAGGGTAGTGAGGGAGAAGGAGGAGATGAGAATGGCTCCAAGATTTTGAGCTTGGTTAGAGCCAGTGGCATGGTGATATTGTTGATCAAGGCCGGGAATACAAGAGAGAAGCAGAATTGGAGAGGAAGATGTTGAGATCAGTTTTGGAAATTTTAGGTTTGTGATTTCTACTGGCCAGACATTGATGTGGAGATGTAAACATTAGTGGGGCTGGGGAGAGGGAAATCTGAGAACAAAAGCAACATTTGCTTAAGTGAACTTTCTTAAGAAATTCTAAGGTATTTAATATTGGGAATTTGAGCCAGTTATGTAAACACACCTCACCAATCTAGTCTCTTACATAATGTTTTTCTCTTGGCTTTATGGCAGAAAGAACTGCTGCCACTCTTTCAAATCTTCTTCTCAGAAAACTTTCAACTCCTTCTAACTTTTATCAACAGAGTAAATGGGGGCTAACCACTATTAACAAGTAATAGAAGATACACAACAGCAGATCTGTGGAAAATACAAAAAAAAAAGAAACTGTCTCCTCCCAACCCCTTTCCTTACCAAATTCTATTTTTAAAACTTTTAAAAAGAAATAAAGTGCTTAAAGACAACAATTTTAAAACCATTTAGAAATCATCTCAAACTCTCAAGATTCAGTAGTAAATCTGAAAAGGGTATTAGAGAGCATTCAGCAAGAACAACCTGTGTTGTATCTGACTCCAGGTCCAGTGCTCTTTCTATTCTGAGCTGCTGCTTACCAGAAAGTACCATATTTTTTTAAAAAATCAATGAATGATACCCCAAACATCTTGAAACCTGTGTCAAAAATGAGTTCTAATAGTTAACATTTCACAGGAATTCAACTACTGGTGCTATATTTTATACATAATACATTATCCTGTTAAATGCATGAACTATTATGCAGACAAGGAATTATGAATCATTTGTCATATGGTACTTACCATTCAATGGAATCCATCATTTCCACAGTTTCAAAGGAGTATTGAATAGTACTAGGATAGTTTGGGTTGTCAGTTGGGACATGATAAAATACTTTTATTATACAGAACTGTATAACATATTCACTAAAATTGAATTCTAGCAGTTCAATAAGCTTCTAGTGGACTAATTTAAATAGTCCCCCATACTGTGCTGTATTTGATTTGTATACCATTTGTTGCAATGCACTTGGTTTTACTTGTCAATGAGAAATACTACTTCAAAATGCTTTCATGGTTTTGTCCAAGACAGACTTAACGATTTTTTACCCCTCACTTCCCTGAAGTCATTATCCTAAAGTAGCCTTTCTTAGGCATCTATTTGCTGGGAATCTTCATGTAGAACACATTAATATTGTTTTAGGGAGTTGTTGACAACAATAAATTGACAGAAAAAAGACGTGTATGACTTCCTCTTTCTAGGCTGTACCACTAATTTTCCCACAGGAATATTGGTGGAAAACTTGACACTTGACAGCCTATTAGTTAAAGACTTGTCTTCTTCTCTTCCTCACCTTTTTTCAACTCTTGGGGTTTAGCCACAGGAGGATAAAACTGAAAGTTGTTTCATTTCTGAGCGTTCTTTCTTTTGCAGTCACCATGCTCTGGTTTCTCAGAAAATACTTTGTCAGAGTAAACTTCCTTTCTTCATCAAGGTTGAGTTCTGGTAAATCATTCTATTTGTTTGTGTAGGAGAGGAACACTGAAGGAATCAAAATCCAAAAGAAACTGCAATTCCTTGATGAAAGGTTGCCTAAGTGACTTCTGGGCACATCTGGCCACAAACTGTCTCCCAGAGCAAATATCAAATCTCTAGTGATAACTGCAAATAACAGAAATATTTCCACTCCCTGTTTGACTCAGAAACTAAACTGCAGTGGGAATCCCTTCTTTCCCTGGGAGTTGCCCTGACCTAAGTTCTACTAGGCTGATATGGTTTGATTGGGGGAGAGGTCCATGACCCTCATATATTCCCCCTTCTAGGTTCTTCATTAGAATCGTTTTCCTTACTGACTTCTTCTTAAAATATTCAAACATGATAAAGTAATTTAACCAAATCATACAGAAGTGTTATTATTATTTACACTATAATTTTATCCAGACAAAAAATAGAGGTGTGTGTGTGTGTGTCTGTGCGCACGCGTGCTTGCGTGTCTGTCTTTGCGTGTGTGTGCGTGTGTGTGTATGTGTGTGTGTGTGTGTGTGTGTAGGGGTGGGGGAAGGATAGTATGGATGGGGACAAAGGGAAAGGAAAAAAGAGTTGAAAGGCTGAATAGCCCTTCCTACTTCACAAAGTTCTTTAGTTTCAGGGCAGGAGGGAAGAAAAGCTGGTAGGCGGATCCAAAAGGTGTAAGTATGTAGTAGGCTCTCAATCTTGCAGCTTAGTCTTCAGGATGTATTACCTTGCAGGCTCTTGTAGGGCCATAGCATCAGTCAGGGTTCCAACACTTGATAAAATGGAATAATTGGAAAGGGGGTTACTTATAAAGAGGTTACTTATAAATGTGTAGATGTAAGAAACCATGAAAAATAGCACAATAACCCAGACTAGTATAAGCTAAACTCTTACTATCCCCAGACCCTAAAGGACAGGGGTAGGAAGTGGTTCCCAGAGACCGGAAAGACTGCATAGAGTATAGTTGACTACTTGAGAGGAGTGGTGATCTTGTTGAGGGCTAAGCTAGCCAAAGATGACCTTGTAGGGAGGGAAACAGGGGAATAAATACCTTGACTTAATTTTCCTCCCTCCCTCTGATCTCCTGCTGGTAATTCCCATTAGCCAAATCCAACCAAAAGCCAAAAGGCAAGAAAAACCACTGATGTGATCCATATAGATCAACCTCCCAAGGAAGAAAGCAGAATGGAGAAGGGTGGAGAGTGCATTTGGAGGGGCAAACAGGAGATATCTAACACAGTCACCAAGTGGAGGTTCTGTGTGCAGATTCCTTGGAGCCTGGTACAGTGCTGGAACCATCTACTGAACAAACTCGTGATTGGGGCAATTTTATCTTCATGTGTACTCTACTCTGCGGCTATAGGGTCAGAAGCATTAGGCTTTCCCATTATAGAAACTCTTTATTCTTTAATATCCATTCTCTTTTAAATCCTCCTTCATGCTTTCTTAATCTTGTATGGTTTGGTATATCATTTAGAACTCTCTTATTTGCAAGTGACAAAACAAACAAATGAATTTTTAAAACCTCAAATTGACTTAAAGATAAAAGAGAATTTACTGAATCACTTAACTGAAAAGTCTGGGTGTACTTCGGCTTCAGGCATAGCCAGGTCCAGGAACTCAAAGATGTCATTAGGAAAC